CAATTTACTTCAATTTACTCAAATCTCTTTGCTTTCTCTTCACAAATGACAAAAAACTCACCTGTAATAAGCGTTCGAAAGAATGTTTATCAATATGGAAGGGAATGTTGCATCGTATCGTTGTACATCACGGTCAGATTGAGTCGTGCTAGATTATAATCATTAATATTGAAGGCGGCTATATGCGGTGCGATATTCATTAAATTCGCGAAATTGCCATCGTATTCCTCGATGTGCTTCGCGTCTTGAGCTATGCTGTCTATCAATTCAGTAATATCGTGGTCAGTATTATTTAAGTATACGATCTCGGTTTCGTTGTATGTATCTAAGAGAAAAAAGCATATTGATTTTTCAAAAATAATAATAATTATCAATTCTAACAATATGTATAATTTTTTTTATAAAATACGTTTTTTACATACTCCTGTTTATAAATGAATCTGAATGGATTTAATTCGCAGCGACAGCCCCCGATTATCAAGCTAAATTGTTGTCTCATATATATATTACTTAATAAAAAATTTTATTTATCCATATTCTTCACTTTAATTTATAGAAATATATCCAAATATATAATAATTTTGTATTTTTATAAAAATAATATTTTTGAAATAACATCTTCTGATTAAGTTTGATAAATTTGGGAATGTCGCTCTTTAAAGAATCGATTTGCACATTTGTTTCTAAAATAAACTGGACATAAACAAAAAAAAGTCAAGCTATTATTTTCTATTTTACGCAAATTGCAATCACTTACAGCTATTAAGTTTTAACGACTGCATCTTGATGTCAACTGTTCGGATGCTGTTCAGATAAAGACCAAGCACTATCAGAGCCAGAGGCATGATGATTGTGAAATATAACAATTGGAGATTCCTGAAGAGTCTGAGTACTCTTATACGTAGCATGGCATAGAGAATTTGAAGGAAATTAGGCCGAATTTTGATGGGATCTAGGCCGAGGCCGAGTACAGGCGGATTTCGATCGTTATGGACGCCATCCGGTAGATCGCTCGCTAAATAAAATCCATTAAAAAAATTAAGTTAGTATGTTGCTGGTGGTTAAACAGTACATATATGCTAACAATAGATAAGATCGACGTCTAATAATAATATTAATAATTAAATTTATAACTAACATAATTGTATATATAATTATCTATCTTCGATTTTATTTTAATAGAAAGAATGAATCGTTCTCTTTCTTCTAAATTATAAATTTTGGATAGTGATGAGAAGGAACGTTGATCGACATACTTTTTCCCTGACTGTCGCTCTGCACGGTCACTCCTTCGTTTTGCAAGCTCTGATACGACGTGCTCTTGGATTGTAATGAAAGCGATCGGCTGAGCGCGCGATTGCGCACCATCTTCTTTGACAAGTTGTCCATCGTGCACTCGGTCTCCTCGTCCTTCTCTAAATGCAAGAACACCTCCTCCAGGGTGGTCATCGACACGCCGTAGCTGCTGATGCCGAGCCTGCTCGAGCGGGTCTTGATCTCGTGTTCGATGGCGGAGAAAAGAGGTGCGAAGTTTTCCACAGAATTGTGGGGTAGAATAAAGCTTAATTCCCGACCGTGACGTCTCGCCTTCTCCGCTTTGCTCACGTGTGACATTACTAATCGGCTGATGGCATGTTCCCTAGCATTGCCTTCCAGAACCAGCCTGTAATTGCAAAAATAATATAATTAAATGTTCAAAATTTATTGTTTTATTCTTCTTTCTACGAAAATCTATATATACACTTTTTGCAATTCCTTTCTGTCGAGATAAGCTCTAATGAAATGTGAATTTTTTTTTTGCACCAATTCATATTCTTCTCTATTAAAAATTGAAGAGAGATATTTTTATATCTCAAGCGAATTAAAATAAATAAATACAACAACAAAACGATATATCTTTAAAAATTTATTATATTATATTATATATAATTATTATATTTATATTTATATATTTATATTTACGCTTATATCTTTTGCAAATTTTTTTCAAATCGGAATCTATATAAATATCAGAATTTTAATTTAATAAATTTCAGGAACGTTTCAGGAATATGAGAATAAATGTAATAAGCGTTCTTACGTCAAGTGGTATCCAATGCCAAATTTATTCTTGAGGAACAGAGAGCTGCCGCAACATCTGAGCTTTCCCTTGCTAATCACCGCTTTTCTGTCGGCGAGTATGTCCGCTTCGTCCATGAAATGAGTCGTCAACAGAATCACTTTTCCGTGCCGTCTCGACTGCAAGAGAGACCATAACTGTCGTCTCGAATAAGGATCCACCCCGGCGGTTGGTTCATCGAGGATAATAATTTTAGGGTCGCCGATGATGGCAATTCCCACAGACAGCTTTCTCTTCTGTCCACCGCTTAGGT